CATGCAGCAGTGAGGATACCTGGTATCTCTCCTCTTACAGATGTATATACTTATGTGTTTCATGGTATAATACGTAACTGACAGTGATCAGCCCATCATGTACCATAGTGCAGTGATTTAACAGTGAATAAATGGAACTATACCCTATGGCAATCCTAATACATTACTCGTCAATGGGTAATAAAGTGGAATAGGTGAGTGTAAAGAATGACAAATGAAAACGGACAAATGCACAGAACATTTTACCTCCAAAAGAGCATCCAAATTTTGCTAGCACAAAGGAGCCAATGCAACAGAGATAGCCATTTTGGTTTCTAGTAGACAGAAAGCAACAAACCTCTTTTTCTGATCATCGCCCTCTACAGAAGAGGACTCTTTCACTGTGGAGGCTGAATCCGCAGCAGCTTTCTCTTCTGTCTTCTCATCCTCCTCACCCTTCTTAGACCCCATTTCTGAATCAACAGTTTCACCCACAGCGCCCTGTTCGCTTACACTAACAGCCTGCGAGCTTTCATTTTCAGCGTCAAGTGTCTCTTCTGGGGCATTCTGTGCGTCCCCAACCTCTTTGGTGTCGGCGTCCCCGACCTCTTTGGCGTCGGTGTCCCCGACCTCTTTGGTGTCGGTCTCCACAACATCCCGGTCGCCCTCCACATCTCCAGAGGCGGCCTTGTCGGACTTGGCACCGGTGTCGGACACATTGTCTTCCCCTCCGGCGGTGGCAGCTTGCTCTTCTTCAGGGCTCGTCTCATGGCTCTGGTGCTGATCTTCGTTAAGTGGCTCAGATAAACAAGACCCGGCTACTTTGTCATTTTCTACGGATTTAACAGGAATAGAATGGCACAGAGTTTAATCACTTCTGAAACACAGCAATGGTTAACGAGGAACTGGCAAGGCCTGGATTAGGAACGTCATGACCACTGGCCTGTGCTCTTAGAACTATGTATTAAAACGATGAAGTAGACCCTAGCGAGAGACTGGAAGAGAACCCAAAGGCTGGAGGACACCCAAGCAACTAGTGCGGCTAACACTGTGGCTCATTTTGCAAGTTGAACCACATCACTGTGTTCACCTGATCCAAAGCAGACAAAAGAGTTCAGTGCTGAAGAGAGCCACAAGATCAGCAGTGCAGCAGCAGATTCTCGCTGCAGTCCACCTTCTTTCAGTCTTTGACTTTCCCAGTGTCCATTCGTGATGACCAGAACTTCAGCTCGAGTCCAGTAGTTTCATATCCATCTGATTTCTGAGTCAGTGTCCTTAAAAAGTCGTAATAATCGATGAGTCTTGATGGATCTTCCTTGTCTTGTTCTTCATGTGGCAACCTAGAAACACTGCATTCACCTGCAACAGCTCACACCTCCCTGACCATGACATTTAATTGCTGTCAATGTGCATCAAATTGTTAACCACTATCATGTTACAACTGAAAGGACATAACTGGAAGTGTAATCAATATTTACCCAGGAACTTATTAAGCATGGTTAACCAAATGTCAACACAAAGCCAGCAATTCTCTTTGGGCTTCCAGTCTCTCTTCCTGGTAAACTAAACTAAGTGTTTGCATTCCACGCTCAACACTGTTAAAAGATGCCTCCACCTTTTTATAAACCATTTTCTACAGTACCTGTTTCTTCCTTCACGTCATCTGCATCTGGATCCTGAGCCTAAAAGAAAAGAATTTTGTCTTAATGAATGTGACATTTAGTTTTACCCTAACCTTTTACATACATCATAAATAACTGTGATTGACTGAACATACCATATTGATTGATGAGCTTGTCATGTATTCATCCTTATCCAACATCTCAGACTCATTATTCTGTTAAAATAAACAAATAATCAAATTTTAAAAATTCCCAGTTAGACAAGATAAAAGATCAAAACGAGCAGACATGTTTCTAGTCCAGTTTCTCACCTCTGGACCCCTTGCGTCATCTTCTGTCTCGAAGGTCCTGTTCTCATGTTCTTCATTCAACACTGCATCTTCAGAGGGAAAATTCACATTTTCATCCTCCTCATCGTCCTCTGCTGGTATTCCATTATCATTCTCTGTCTCATCCAGAACATTCATGTCCAGGATGTCCATTTCCTGCATGTTCTCATGATCACCCTGAAGCTCCTCCTTAGAAAGGAAGGAGGAAATGTAATAAGACACAAAAGAAATTCAAAAGCAATATCCAGAACCTGGCAGTCGCAAAGGAGGGCATTCAATTTTGCATTTCATATTTGTGTAAACGTCAAATTCTAGTTAAGCAAACTCACATGGCCATCACGGGAATCCTCCTCCACAGTGCCGTCCTCTGGTTCATCATTGTCTTGCTTTGTATCTACAGAAAACATGCTTTAGTTTAGAAAAAGTATTCATTTAGGCGTCTAACAGGTGACGATCTCCTGATATTTTATGCCTGTGCATGTTGAGAGTCATGCTTTCTGAAATGACAGAAAAAATTCCAGTGTTTGAGAGACTGTCACCTGAACTTTGGGCGGCTATATTCATGTCAATTACCATTAAAATTCCAGCTTAATGCTGAGTGGTGTGTAGTACAATCAATTGTCATTTGAACGTCTGTTCTGTCCTTCTGTAGTGTGTCATTATTTGGAAACCTGAATCTGGTCAATAAGAATAGGCTTGCCTAAGTGGCCAGCCTGACTGATACTATAGACAGGTCCTGCAGAAGGTCCAGACAGTATTGAACCATCTCTGCAGGGGGAGTTTGAGCTCCTACTTTCAGGCTGTAGATACAGAGTTCCCGCTTCTTGGACAACAGACACAAAGTCTCTTTTGCTTTCACAGCTATTAGCAGCCTAAATTTGTGCGTGATCTTAGCACCTATTCACTTTCTTTATTCATTCACCAATCAGCTGTTTTTTGCATTTCTTCTTGAATTTCTACTATTTGTCCTTGTTTTTTGTCCAGATCGTTGCATTATGTGCTGAGGTGAGACCAATGAGTGAGTGAGTCCCAAGTCTTTGTACTCAACTCCTGAGTCACGACTAACAAGTTTCAAATCAATTTGATTGACTTGTGGCACTTTTTAATCTTTGGGCTTGGGGGAAGTTATCAAGTATATTCAGGTCAAAAGGCTCAAGTCCATGTGAGGTCATGAGTCATTATTGTTAGAGTCCAAGTCGTGTGGCAAGTCTTTTTTTTTAATTGTGTCAAACTGAGTCTTAAGTCATCAGATATGTGACTCGTGTGACTCCAGTCTGACTTGAGTTCAAGTCATGTGACACCTCTGATTAAGTTACTGTGTAGATTTCCATGATTAATGGCTGCAACCTACATTCTCAGGTGGAATAATACAGTTTAACATTAATTTTACTAGATAGTAGATACAACTTCATTTAGACAATATTTTCACTATCTGTTTTGGAGAGGATTCAACTTCACTGTGATAATGAAGGCTGGGTGAACATCTGTCAGTAACACAATACTGTTAAACACCACCACCACTCATGTAGCCAGAGGACTTTCAGTATCGTTTCGTTTTAACAGAAACCAATAAAGCACAAGTGTGTCAGACTGTACAAACATTTGCAGTATCGATTAAATAGTGTCCACTTGATTTAATGTGCAAACTTTACCTTTAGAGGATCGTTTAGGTGTAACGTTGGGTTTCTTTGCGGTTGATTCCGGAGCGAGAATAATCTCATCAGGATTTCCACCTTCTTCCTCGATTGCCTGTTAATGCAGATACGAACTGTTTAATATACAGTACAAATCTGAAAGAGCTCAAGGTAAAAAAAAATTAACGTCAAATATGCAAAAAGCCACGAAAATTAGAGCAGTTAGCTGTATGGCGCAAACGTTAGCTTAATGGTTAGCGCTAGCTAGCTAGCTAGCCCTGGACTTCAAGCTAGCTAGCTAGCTAGCTTGAAGTCCAGGGCCTCGTTAGCTAACCTAGCTTCATATTTGGCGTAAATTAAACTGGTTTGATAGGATGCATTCGGGAGGTCACAGGATACAGGCAGTATTTCTATTGATAACATTCAGTGTATGGTAGTTTAACAGCAGTTGTGAGACCTTTTTCAGACGCTCGGACAGCACGCTCTTGACGCCCGTGGTGTCCAGGTTTCGTTTCTTCAGCTCGGCCTTCAGGTCGATAACTCTCAGCTCCGACAGTTTGCGGACCTCTGCGCCTTCCGGGACCTCCACTTGCGCTGATGGGTCAGCCATCGTGTTAGAAACTTAACTTCAGATTGAAATACTCCCGTTATGCACGTTATCTACAATTGCTGCACTGCGAGTGGACGCAGCTGGCTTGCAAATGCACTGCAAAATGGAGGCCGTGGTGTGCTAGTTGACGTAACGGCGCATGCGCAGTAGAGTTACAGTGCAGAGACTGGGATAGGAGAAAATCAGTCAGTACAGTCTGAGGTGAAGAAGCTTACAGTGATGGTAACTCACTATTCTTTGACGTGTGTAAAAACGCTCGAGAAGATACAAAAAGCTGAAGGCATACTGCATTTTATGCAATTCACCTTACAGTTTTCCTCATTTGTTTGAACACATTTGTCCATTCAGAAGTGACATTTTCAAAATAGTTGACACACATGCCTGAACTGGAAATCTCTGGCCAAAATGACACATTTTGTTTGCAAAATGGTCTGACACTCGCAAACACATTAAATACATGAGACACAGCTATCAATTAGAACCGGTTCAACCTCGCAGTAATGCGTGCTAGATGCCTGTGCCATTTGTTAATACTTTGCATAGTTATAGTAGGTGCCAAAAAAAAGGCAAGCAAACATATCACAGCATGAACTGTTCTCCTCTCCAAACATGATTTTACTAGAGATACCAAACTCTGCTGCACTCTGCACCTGCACTTATTACACTTTTTGAGATGTTCAGTTGAAATACCGTACAAAAAAAGTTATTGGAAAGTTTTCTTCATTCATTTTTTTCTTGTTTGCAGGGTTTTCCATGCCCATCACTTTTGTGCTGCATTCTTTTTTTGCAACAGGAACCAATAAAGGAAGTCACCCACACTCAGAAATACCCAGAAACATTTTTTTATTGTACCCAATCAGATTTTTCCATGTCATTCTTTTTGGCTGGACCACTACAGCCATATAAGTTTTGACCTAGTCATGATAGCTAGAATAAGTGGTGCAAAGACGTTTCACGGAGGTGCAGATATTCATAATCATGCAGGTAATTTCTATCAGTTGTGAGTAGATATAATATTTTATTAAGCATAGTTAATCCAGTAAAGTTTGGGGTCTGTCTTTGAGATGTTTTGAAAATGGGTGTGAAAAAAAGAGTAAAACCAATGAGTGTCAACACATTTGCAAGAAAAGACTTCTGCTGTGCTGAGAAGGTGATGATAAAGATCAAGGGGATTCAAGTTTCATTAAGCGTGTCTTAGCAACTGAGACAAACTGTAAATGGATATGTTTTATTTCTTCCTTCTTAACAATCAGAACACATGTTGACCTTGATGTGCAGTGAGTTCACATTTTCAATGCACTGTGTATCAAACTCTTATAAAAACCTTAATATAGCATTACAAAAGCTTAATGCCTAGTTAAAACAAAGAGAACAGCTAAACTGACCCCGTACAATGACTTCTGCTTTTCTGAAACTGCAAAGTCAAAGGCTTCTCCTCATCTTTTCATTTTTTGTTTATCTGTCCTACTGATTTATCACAGTGTGTTGGTTTTATCATTGCTTTCATAATGCTTAGTGAGAATGAAAATTGTACATGTCACTAAATTTGTAGTTTGGCTCATTTAACTGGCTGTGGGGCAGGCTTTTGCTGGCAACAAGCGCCTGAGGGGCATCAAATAATTCAGAACTGTCAATCTCCTCTGGAATATTGGCACTTCTGGATGCAGTTGGAGAGTCAGTGGTGGAGGGAGCTTGTACGTGATATGTCCATGTATTATTTGAGGCTGAACCAACGGAGGCAAAAGACCCAGCGAAATAGGAGCACTCTGGAACGTCGAAGGAGTCGAAGCTGGAGGAGGAGGACGCAGAGCAGGCGCGAGGCGGTCGTGGTTCGTGCAGGTTGAGTTTGGAGACCAGTGGTTTACCAACTGTCACGGATTTCCTTTCCTGTATTTCGTCATCCATATTGGAGTAGGTGTAATGAAGGCAGATGGTGAATGTGAGCTCCCTCTGTGCAAACAGTGAAGAGCAAAATGAGAATATGAAAAGGTTTCTACGCCGTGAGTTCTTCTATTCAATACAATGAAATGTCACTCAATAGAACATGCTTAAACTCTATCTTTCAACATAAGCATTTAATATGATGGTGTGAGCTTTATTCTTGACTGTGCCAAACACAGTGTCTCTTGTGTCTCCACAAGACACATAAACATGATCACGTGTTTCCTCGGACAGAAAAGGGAGAACTAATTACGAAAACAATAACAAGCATCTCACCCTGAGTCTCTGGAGGCATCGGATGCGTGTGTAGAGACTAGGGACCTCAGGTGAAGGAAGATTTTCCTTGATTAATAATAAACTGCCAGCTTCCAGCAGAGTCTCCTGGTTACTCTTCTTCAGATCGATGTCAACATCCTGCCAGTGTAACACAGAATACAGTGTAAGACAGGCCAGAACAAATGTCTCTCTGTCTTTTCAAATCTTAAATCTTCCTGTTTAATATCAGCTAACAAACCTGAGGGAAGTCAGTGAGCTGAGCACAGCAGGAAACTATTTCGTTGGGCTTCTCAAGTATCCGAGTGTAGATGACCATGATGTTGGAGAACTCAGCAGCAAACCCGAGCTGAACATTCACGCCACAGTCAAACTGCAGGACACGGCTCTCTGGCAGCACTATGATGAAAGACATTTGATATTTAAGTACACTTCACTCTAAGAAAGAAAAGTAAAAGCAACCTAGAAATATGACAATAGCTCAGGCTGCTAAAACACTGCTTAGAGAGCCTGTGGTTGTGGGTTCAATCCCCACTAAAGGCTAATAAATTTGGGGGCAACAGTAGCTCAGTCCATAGGGACTTGGCTTGGGGTTTGTAAGGTTGCTGATTCCAAAGCCAAGTCCCTGTATGGACCAAGTATGGAGCGTGGACTGGTAGCTGGAGAAGTGCCAATTTGCCTCCTGTGCACTACCAAGGTGCCCTAGAGCAAGGTACTGAATCCCCAATGGCTCAAGGCACCTGTTCATGGCAGCCCCTCGCTCTGACATCTCTCCATTTAATGCATGTATAGGTCTTGTTTGTACATGTGTGTGTACTTCGGGCCTGTGTGTATATGCCAAATTGAATTACCCCTCAGGGATTAATAAAGTAAATCCATAATTCTTGTAATATTTAATAATTCAAGGTAAGAAGATGTAAGATTGTAAGAAGAAGAGTACCATGAGCAACAGCCCACTGCATGTTTCGAGCTGATTGGGATGCAGAGCAGTCAGAGGTCTGTATGTGGTCGGTGAGGGAACGTCGTTCTGACAGATTACTGCGGAGCTCCAGAGCCTGCCTCCCTCGTGTGATCTCACAACGACCCATGTCTGGGAAGTAGAAAATAAAAAGATTTTAATACACATTATGCATTAAACTAGTGTCATCTGTCAAGGGTGTATCATGACATGAGCTGTACGTGGCAAAAGCTGCAACAGACTCACAATGTTCAGCCCACAGAGGGCAGTGCAGCAACATTTTCAGTGTAACCTGTCTCCATTTTCAGTATCAGTGCAGTCAAACTGAAAACATTTCACAAGCATTTCCTTGGTAGAAGAAAACAATTCGCCCACATTCTGGTGCACCAGAATAAACACAGAACTGTATTTGTTTGCTGCCATAGAAGCAGCCAGTATCGGTACTTTGCAACAGGATGTTAATGAAGTGTTTTCACAGCATAGCAGGAAACACACAAGTGGAACTAATAAAAATAATGATGGCTCTGCTCCATAGGTGTGTCAGTAAACCCATGTCACTGAGCCAACATAGACAACATACCAGAGCCTTCAAGAGTGAAACAGTTCAAACTATAAAGAATAACACCACAAAGTTCTGATTACACCTATCGTTTCAGTGATGTGTTAATCATCTGATACGATCAGGAAGTCAGACGGGACTCAAGGTCAAGGTCTAGGTAAACTTTACTATCCCACAAGTGGGAAATTCATGTGGTCACCATTACACATTCCATTGTTATACAGCCTACTGTATAGCATTAAAAACAATAAATACAAAACATTAGGAAAGAAAAACAGGGAGAAGACAGACAAAACAGTAAGAACATTGAGGAAACATGACAAGCATTTATGAATAAATAAAACAGTTGGATGCTCATATATATGCTCATAGTTTAAAGTGCTTAGGAATTTTTAAATCTATTGTTGTGCAGTCGAATTGCTGTAGGCACAAAAGACTTGCTATACCTTGTGGTCCTAATTTTCCTCTGCAGGATTGTGCCACTTGACCCGTTACTTCTTAAAAACTTCAGATGAAGAGGGGGGGTTAAGTCATTTAGAATTTGTTCTGTCTTTTTTAGACTGAGGTCGTTGTACAGTTGAGCTACAGATACCTGATCAGCTCCAATGGTCCTACTGGCTGTTTTGACTATTCGTTGCAGTTTCTTCTGATCCTGAATATACATGTTTCCAAAGGCACAAATAAGGCCAAAGGATAAGACACTTTGCAAGAGAGATTTGTAAAACATCTGAAGAATACAGCTATCTATTCTAAAATGATTGAGTTTCCTTAAAAAAAAACATCCTCTTCTGCAACTTTTTGGTCTTATTTTGTGCACATTCATTGAATGCCAGTTTGTTGTCAATTTCAACACCCAAATATGTGTATGTTGAGACCCGCTCTACCACTTCACCATTGATATTTGAGGGTGGAACTATAATTCCCTTTTTATTAAAATCTATGACCATCTCTTTTGTTTTCTTCGCATTAACCACAAGGAAATTATCTGTACACCATTTAATAAAACCCTGCATCTCCCTCTCAAAACCCTCTAGGGATGCAGTGTTAGACTTTAAAAAACCCACTAATGCTGTATCATCAGCATATTTAAAATAAGTGTGGTCTGACTCATATCACTATCAGATACAAAGATTAGAAGGTAAGATTTAAGGACATCACTAAAGCAGAGACACATGTTTAATAATCTGAATACACTCTTGGAACAGATCAAGCAAGACCACAGGTAATATATAGGGCTGGAAGAAAATCCTCATACAGGAGCTGCCTGCAAGTTTCTGCAATTTCAGGTCACATGATGTAGAGTAATCTGACCCAGTGACTTTAGATACATAGAATATTTCATGCCCAGAAATGCTCCACACACCTTCAACAACAGTACATATCAAGATGTGTTTTTTGAGAGCCACTAAATTAGATATATATGTGGGATATAAAATGTGTACATGCTTGTATTTTTCCCCTTCTATATTGTTCCAAAGTAGGTATGGTGGTATGATTCTGGGATACACAGGTATATATATTTTTTTGTTCTTGGTTTATTTTTATTATGAACATAGGCTACAGGTGTGGCATGTCACATGACTGGCTCAGGCAGCACTATGGGTATTTAAGATGGCGACTCTCTGTCATGTATCAGAAGTCTGAGGAAGAGGCTCGAAACATCACTCTGCATTAAAATCCTTCTTAACAAAAGCTACTTGGTGTCCACATACCTTCAGCCACTCTGTCCAGCATGACCGTGACCTTCTCATCTTCACACACTCGCCGTTTCAGGAAGCTTATGAAGATGCCATTTGACACGTCTTCCCTCTTCACTTCATATGCTTCAGCGTCTACACATCTAAACACACACATTACACATGAGCTTTGGCCTGAAGTGGAGAGATTAACGTCTCCATCGCTGGATTAATTCAAAGCAAACAAGCAGAAACACCAACATAGTATGAAAATGTATGTACTGGAGAATAAGCACACTTACGTGGCATATCCAAACACAATATTCGCTGTCACCTTGAGCAGTCCTGGTTGCACAATGACATCATCATATAGGTTTCTAAAAGGAATAAATCATTAGAAGCATAATATGGACAGAAGATGATTTCCTGAAGCTGGTACATTAACTCATTCATTTAAAAAAAAGCGTTCATACCTTTTGCGGCACATGTCCAGCAGGAATATGTTCAGTCCTGTCTCCTTCTCCTGCATCCTGGTGAGTATATTCTGAACACACAAACAGTGCTCTGATGTGTAGGACTCCGGCGCGTCAATGGGGACCATGAAACTGTTACCATAATTCTCATAACCATGACCAGCAAAGTATAGCAAACCTGTGGAGTGGAAGGACAGAGAAGTATTTTCATATTTTAGGAAGTGTGTTACAGGCATGTTTAGCTTATTGTTGTTAACAAATGTCATTTTTAAATAAGCGTTTAGTCAGTTTTATACTATATTTTCTTTTGTAACAGTCTTTGAAAGTACAGATACAGATATGGAAGTTTTAACATATTGAACATATTGTCCACATGGACTAGAGACCAACCATAGACTCCTTTGTCAAGCAGCAAGAGGAACTCTGTAACAGCGCTGTGCATCTCCTGCCAGTTGAGGTCGAGCAGGGAAACCACCTTAAAGTCCATTTGTCTGAGCATGTTGGTCAACTCGTGGACGTCAGCGATGGGAGCACACAGCTGAGTGTGGTGGAGGTAGTTCATGTTGCCAATCAGGAGAGCAACTTTGTCTGTGGCTGTGGAGGGGAAGATAAGGCATCATGAAAAATATGTTGTATGCCTATCTTACGGAGTGTATTTTGCTGCACAGACAGTGTGTTGTGACTGCACTGTGTCTATTTGTTTGCACAAAACCCACCATAGAAATTCTTGGCTAATGGGGGCGGATTGGCTATCTGTTGCAACGGGTTTATTCCTGGTCCGCAGGTTGACCGGTGGACTTCCTGTGAGTCTATCAACATCAACGTGAAAAGATAGTTTAAAGATATCATGCTGTTTAATGTCTTACTTTCATTTCTACAGTGCTTGGCAGCCACACATACACACATTGCTTTCCTGTGATCAGATGAACAAAGTACGCAACTAATCAAATAGTTTGAAGATTTAAAACAAACACACACAACCTACTAGTACCTGCTTTAACACAAAGTAAGTCTTGCGCTAATGTACATCCAAAAACAGGAACCAAAGCGTAACGTAATGGCAAAGGAACTAAACCTCTACTGTAGTTCCTGTAATGAAAATAAACCAGAACATAAATAATACCTAGACCACGATCGACTTCTACCCAGGAGGCATCAGTGATGGAACTGGGGCCTGTGTGAAAGTGCAAAACAGGAAGTTATTCACTGGACAGCGCTGCGCATTTGCTCAAGCGTGTTGAGCCTATCAATGAGTAATGCCAGACTAAATGCTGGTCTAATTATGCTCACAGATTCCTTGAAAGTAATACGATTCATTTAATTATTGTAAGTGTTTTTAAGACATCTTTTATCTCTCTGAAAATAGAAAAAGAAATGTGCCTGGGTCTCACCTATTGTGACTGTTGCTGCTTCAGTCCACGCCTCGTGATACAGATTGAACACCTTGCATTTGTACTGTCCTCTGTGTGCTGTGGTCACGCCTGGGATCTGAAGGGGATATAAGAGGACACAACATCAACTATACTAAATTTTGTTAATGAATACCCCCCAATGATAATGTTTTTTAGGTCACAACAGACTCTGTACACATTTACCTTGAGTGAACGTGTCTTGTGTTGTGTCATGGGCACCATGTTGTGGTACCACTCATACTGCGCAGGAGGGTTGGCCTCTGCATTGCACTCCAGGAACAGAGTGTCGCCCTCAGACACTGCGTGGGACTGAGGCTGATGGGTGATACGCAGCCCACTCACTGCCCCTGGAAACAGACTGCTGCTGCAACCTGAGATGACAGGATATACCAGGACATAGATCAGATGCCATGAGATGAGATAAAACAAGGGAAACACAGAGACGAGAAGGAGGAGAAGGAGGAGAGGAGGAGGTACCTGTACTGGGACCTGCAGACTGGACGAAGCGAACATGAGCCCACTGGGAGAAGACACAGTTTTCTCCGTGGTTGACTCTACAGATGTAGTGACCCTGGTGAGCTGTGGTTAAAGGGCACAGAACCAGCTCTGGTGTGCTCCCTGTCTCATCCAGAATCTAAAAGAAGGAAACAATCTACCAATAACCAATTTGTAAATGACAATTACCATCACCACATTAACATCCATGTGATGTAAAGTTTCTTGGTTGACCTGAAATGTTATTGATACTTTTTTATTGTCATGTAATCACACAAGATTTGACTGACCTCCTCTTTGCCTTTGAACCACTGGTAGCTGAGTCCAAGGGAACCAATGGCTCTGCAGGTCAACACCACCCTGCCCCCCACTGTGGCTTGCTGGGTCTGTGGCTGCACCGTGATGTGGATCAGCTCTGCCACTACCACACACACACACACACACACACACACACACAATAAACAATCATGCAAAGACAAGAAGGAACAGAGCAAACAGGTATTTTCATTTAGATGTGGAGCCTCAGAGTACATTTTTTTTTAACAGGCACTAACTTGTGAAAGCTGAATACAACTGGGCCACGGCCTTATGATCATTCATGCTGACTCATTGGTATAGCTAAGAGGCATTTCAATTAAACTGAGCCATCGCTAATGTTATTTATCGCATCTATTATAAGTCAAAATCTGCACACTGAGAAAGGTCTATTCACAAATAAAGCACCAGTGCTTCAACATGTACTTTCAACCTGGTGAATAAAGGTACTGCAGCAATGGAGCACTAGACCCCTAACGCATAAATATGTACCTGGACCCTTTCAAACACAAACACACACCCTGTACTTAAAGGGGAACTAAGCCCCTTTTTCAACAACTCTCCCAAATCAAAAAGTGAGAGTGCCAACATTCAAATTTGTGATGTCATAGGGTGTAAAGTCTGGAGCTGCTCCATAGACAATGAATAGGGACAGATGTTCAGATCAGTGGTTCCCAACTGGTCAGCAGGGTCCAGATTTCTTCTTTGTCATTAGTTCAAGGTCCACACAGTTTAATATATTCAGCGTCACACTTGTGTTTGGCTTTATGGACAAGCTAGTTTTCTGTCTCTGTCCAGGAGCTGTCCATTAGTCTTTTACTCTACAGCAGGAAATGTCACATCAAAATAAAAGCTATGCACCAGAAATTTACTGTACTTCAAAATTATGTGTTTTTTACAAATGTTTTTCTACAAACACATGGGAATCGGAGGGTCACCGGTTTAAGTCCCGGTACGGACCAAGTATGGAGAATGGACTGCTGGCTGAAGAGGTGCCAGTTCGCCTCCAGGGCACTGCCGAGGTGCCCTTGAACAAGGCACTGAACCCCCAAATGCTCAGGGCGCCTGTCCAAAGCAGCCCCCTCGCTATGACATCCCTTTCTTAATGCATGTATAGGTCCTGTTTTTGCATGTGTGTGTATATTGGGCCTGTGTGTATATGACAACAGAGTGAAAACACTGAATTTCCCCTCAGTGGTTCATAAAGTGTATCTTCTTCTTCCTCTATTTCTGTGGTCTCTGGCTTTGAGAGAGAGTAGCTTATGTGTCAGTTGTTCAATGTTTGGTAGTGTTTGTGCATTGTGTGTGTATTCACATTTTGTTCAATGTTTGGTGGTGTTTGTGCATGGTGTTTGTTGGCGGTGTTTTGTGTATCCAAATGTGACAGATTGTGAAAACAAATTTCCCAATGGGACAATAAAGGCTATCTATCCATCTATCTTCTTTACCTGTGGTAGTGAGGTACTGCACAGCTTCCTGGTGGCCCATCTTCCTCAGGCAGTGAAGCAGGAAGTCCAGGGAGCAGGCGCGATCGGCAAGCCGAGCCAGGAGGGTGCGTCCTGGGCTGCCTGCAGCGCTCAGCACCTGCAGTGAGCAGCTGGTCAGCTCGTTCTCACTGCAAGGAGGACAGGCGTTCAATGGGTAGTGTTAGTCAGTCTGTTAATCCTGTGGTGACAGTTGAAGGGGCCCAAAGCAGGGGAGGGCCCAGAAAACTGGTAGGAATGTGCAGTATGATGGAGGAACAAACACAGGGCATAGGTACCATTTGAACATTGTGGGAGTCCTCTGACAGAAAATTGTGAGCATCAAATACTTAAAGGTCCCATACTGTAAAAACGTTTTTATCATAAAGCAGGTACGAGGAGCTATATAAAAACTATTAAAGTAGATGTCAAAACATTCAGTCCACAGCAAACTACACACAGTCCTTATGCAGAAACCTGTACCTGTAAACAAGCCTTCAGGACTTCCATAAAGTTGTGATGTCACAACTAGACGTTATAAAGGTAGAAACTGGGTCTACAGTGCTGTTACATTCATTTCTCAACTGAAATGATGGTGCAGAGACACTCAGAGCGCAGATGGAAGACCCAGAAACACTGTCCATTCAAGAGTAGACTGGGTTTTTCAGGAGGGAAGCTTAAAGAGATAGCCGCTAAAATAAAGCGTTTCAGACAGAGGGTGAATACAGATATATTCAGTCATACAGTATTAGGAAATTATGCTGTTTTTTTTACATTAAAGCATGTAAATATGTTCTAACAGAAATCTAAGATACAAGTATAGGGCCCGTGTCCACCAACGCAATTTTTCCGAGCTGAAAACACCCAGCTGGGAGCTTTGGAAAGAACCTTGGGAGCACTGTGTTTTTCCAGCTGAGAGGCTTTGATTAAGCCTGGTTGCGATGACATGTCGGCACAAGGCAGAGTGCTTGCTGTGGATGAGGCCAAGGCTGAAGCATGCAGGGAGAGAACGGACCTGCAGGTCTTTGTGGGTTGATAAGAGGAAACATAATATATATATACAGTAAAATTAACAGATTTCTTCTCCATAGTGATTGTTGTTCAGCACTTGTACATGAAAGCCGTGACAGTTTGTCTTCACGGTATTCGTCCCTCCTCGATTGTGATTAAACTACCAAAGTGACAAGCACAGCGTTTTTTTACCCAAAGTTGAACATCTTTGCAACTCTTAGCGCTCAGAAAAAAAGCACCCAACCGGCAGGACTCAAGACAGAATTCATGTTCAACGCGTCATCCTGCTGCTGGCATTTGTAACGCTACATATTTACGCAGCGTATTTACCAGTCCCTCCAGAAAATCGTGATCTTGCGTTTGCAATAATTAACGCCAAGTCAATGAAAGTCCGCAATATTTGAGGGGGTTTGCAATTTTTCAAAAGTCCCCCGACTTCTCTGCGTCGAGCATGCGACGTCATTTGAAACATGTTGTTTTACAGTCACATTGTCTGGTTTAAGAGCTACAATATTCACTCAGGATTTTGTGCAACATTATTGGAGTCCATGTTTTGAAACTAATTAAATAAAACTGAAGAAGAGAACTATAAAAACTTTTGCAGCTATTTTGTAATATTCAGTATGATTATTATAGTAAATGATTACATGGAGGTAGTAGTTTAAATTTCTATTTTTTTTCTCCTTTTGTCATGTGCTGCAATTTCCTGCAAAAAATCACAGAAAAATGCCGCAATTTTTATCGCAATTTTTTACAAAACTGGCCGCAAATTCAAAGGTTTTGGGCCGCAATTTCAAGGTTTTTTTTGCCGCGAGATCCTGGAGGGACTGATTTACGCAGTGCTACAAATGCAGGCAACGCAATGAGGCGCTCCCATTGCAAAGCATACTTTTTTCCCTGCCAGGGAAACAAAGGCTTTGGTGGACACCTACACATGTCAATTAGCATAATATGGGACATTTAATATCCTGCATTTTGATGAATTGTATGCACCAATTAGTGCCTCTTCTTCATTAATTTGTTGGGTAAATGTCTTTAATTTTGTCAAAATAAAAGTCTTCGTTAACTTAAATGTTTTAATTGGGGGTGACAAATGCACATGTGCTAAATATAGAGGGGAATGTGTCTCCCTGTGTCCCCCAACATCTACACCCATGCTGTTTATCATACATGCCATACACCAGAGACAATCCTTGTACTACAGTATGAAGCGTAAATGTTAAAATGAGTCATTATGGTGGTGAAAAAGGTGTGAAAATAACTGCACAGTGAATGAAGCTTCCCCATTATGTGATGCGTTCAATGTCTCACCTGCAGCGGAATTTGGGCTGCTCGGACACGGCACTGGCCAGCTGCCTCCATCCGCAGGTGGAGTTGTCCAACATCTTTGACAGCTTGTTCAGCACTTGTTCACTCAGAGTACCAACGCTCAGTTTCCATACCTCCATCTCCGTATGTGTCACACTCACACCTAGAGACCTACAAACAGCAACGTAAAGTGAAAGTGCGCTAAAATCTGACCCCAGCAGAGCTCTGATTGTTGGATGAGTCTCCCACACGGCTTGTCGCTACCAAACTGCAGGGTGCAAACACAGGCTGGGGTCAGTTTAATGACAGCGGGTGGCGCGGAGGTAAATCCGCCTGTAAGGTTACTACACACGCGGCAGGAGATGTTAATCTTATTCAGGAAATAAGTCAGATAACAGCGGAGCTAAAAAAAGGAAACGACAAAGTATATTCACACCAAACTACACAGCACGACGTCGATTAATAACTGCGCTGCCACTTGCCGCTTCCGCCATGAACACACAGGCTGTAACTTTAATAAAAGTGGTGAGGAAACTTACCGACAGGTCGGTGATCACATCCAAATGTGGAGAAACAAAAGAGGAACGAGCCTTTTCATATAAAAGAGCAGTGTGAGGGATGTTTCACCCCATCAGATTTCCAATCTTACGTGATTTTGTTCCCCAGATGATTTGCTTCTCATTTCGGTTCCTCATTTAATTTCTGACATCCCCCGGTCATTTGCATGAAGCGTTGTCATGGCAACACCAGTTATTGAAGCCAACTATACACAAAGTGTTAGATTCACATCCTAGAAACCACAAAAGTTTTTCTTATGAAGAGTTCTCATGTAAATTTAGTAAATTATATATCAATAATTTTAAGTGTATAAACTTCTTATTACAGTGGCAGAGACCTTTTTGAAGATCAAAATCCTAAGAGAGGTTAAAGATAAATTCAAGGAAAGGCAAACCAACTTGGACAAAAGGTTATGCACCATAAATTGCAATTTTCTCTGCATGTAGACCATTTACAAACTCATAACCCTCAACAATTTTCGAATGAAATTACCAGATAGGGCCCCAAAAAGCCAAGGGAAATTCCCATGGAGGTAAATGTAGTTCTGATTCAGGGGTTGTATTACAGAGATGACTGATGATTCATTCAATTATGTTGTTTTTAAAGAAATAATGACTTAAAAAGTATCTGGAGTCTTAAATTAACAAAATTTCCAACACCTTACACCTGGGTAAGTAGGAGGACAATGGAAACATGAGAAATAACAGATCATGACCAATAGATGGCTCCAATTGTTAAACAATTAAATACCGAAATAAAGAAACAGAAACAAACTGTAACACGTGGGCTGTTACCCACTTTCATCATGTTTGAACTTTTTCTAAATGAAACAGCCATTTTTTGAATAAAGGCTTTCTATAAAGAAGAGTGCCTTGGATTTTCCTTTTTTTTATGTCTATATTCCCACCAAAGAGCACCTTTGTCACATGATTAGATGAACCTTCTGACCACTCTGGACTTTCTTTTTGACACAGAAGGCAGAGTAGTCTGTTTCTGGACTGAGTAGTTAAATAACATGTAAGTTAGATGGTTACTGCAACGTCATTGTGATGGTGTCGTGTAAACCAATGAGGGTTGGGCACAAATAAGTGGGCCTGACACAAAACGCAAAACTTGCAGGACATGTATGTACTCCTGTTTATTTATAATGAGTTAGCAAAACAACAACAACAGTGAACTGATTCGTGGCTGCACCAGCCGGCCATTTCTTTTCAGATATGGATATAAATGAACAAACAGAGAAAAACAAACGTGTAGAAATTAATCCAATGCAATGCAGTATCTCTGAACCAAATACTGTAAAAAACACCTTTCTGAAATTGATAAAACAATCTCAATGTAAGGTTCTTTTAGTAGCTGTTGGGGAGCTTCAATCACATCCCACGATTTTTGAAATTCGTCTACAATTTCTGGACAAATAGGCAAATACCATTTGCTTAAAACTGTGTCATACAATGGGAAGCAGCTGCTAAAGGGACCTGTTGGTGAGGCTGTTTTGCCACTGGCTGTTTCCAAAGTCAAGACTGCTTATTATATTTAGTTTCTGTTGAGACTGTTTGGCGTTCGAGGCCTTACTCTGGTCGTGCTTTAACTTTATTACATAGTGAGTGTTGGGTTTTGTATTTTCCCCCTTGTTTTTAACACAGCCAAGAAGGAGCTGTTTATGCTGCTGGAAGTGGCCAAGAGTTGGTCTAATGTTATTTCATCAGGAAGCTGAACTTCTTCGACAGGTAATTCAGTCCACAGAGTCGAAGCCCTCTGTCAGTCCAGCGGGGGCCTAAAACTTCCGGCCTTTCTGTAATTTGTTGTAGCGCCAAATGTTCTCCTTCCTCAGACGCCTCCAGTATTCCCAGGTGTCCTGGCTCAGCTCCTGCAGCTTTTTGGGTTCTCCCAGGTTGAACTGGAACAACCTGCGTGAATAAAATGAGAGGGGAAATCAGATCAGTGAAGATACATCAGTATCAGATTTATTGGCCGAGTATGTTTGGGCATACAGGGAATTTGAGTTATTTTTTTTACATGTAAAATACAGTTTTCACCCAGAAACAAATCTGAGTTGCACAGACTGACATTACAGAGGAAAAACATTTATAAAAACTGAACAGTGATTACAAGCTGTGTATTTTTGTCCATATAGTTGTACAATTTAATATGTTACCATTCTAGAGCACCTGACGTAATTCTAAGTTCCTGCTTTTCTCAAAATACCATTCAACTGCCAAAACTTCATGCCTGGGCTGCATTTAGTATATGTAGGTGGAGAGAGCAACAGGAAAAGTACAAAGCAGCATGTGATGCCTAAAAAGTTTTTGTTTTACTTACATAAATGTGAACATAAGTAACAATCCTTATTTGGGTAAAATGTGCACAGTTTTTCTGCTACGAAGAACATCAGAGGTGGGACCAAGTCACTGTTTTGCAAGTCACAAGTAAATTTTAAGTGTTGGCATTAAAGTCCCAAATCATGTCCTGAGTCAAGACAAGCAAGTCCAGAGCCAAGTCTTAATCAAGACTGGCGAGTTCCAAGTCTTAATCTTTGAATCACGAGTTCTAAACAAGTCATAATGCGCTCTTCACCAAATGTAACACCATTTTTTTGCAAAAATAATGATGGTAATGACATATTAAATTCATCAAAATCATGAATGCTCTTATAAATTTGTATTTAATTTTAATACAAGTTTGTTGGAATTTTTTGCATCTCTGTCTGTAATTTTTGATCTGATTTTTAAGCATACTGCAATTCTGTTTTTGTTGACCACTTCATAGCTTTTGTTCATTCATTCATTTTCCATAACAGCTTATCCTGTTATGGGTCGCGGGGGGCTGGAGCCTATACCAGATGACATTGGGTGAGAGGCGGAGCACACCCTGGACAGGTTGCCAGACTATCAAGAACCCAGAGAAAACCCACACTGACACAGGGAGAACATGCAAACTCTGCACAGAAGGGCTCCCCCACCCTGGGCTTGAACCAGGAACCCCCTTGCTGTGAGGCAACAATGCTAACCACTGCACCACCGTGCTACCATGAACTAATTATCTTAGGTCTAATTTTTTTCCCCAACTGGCACTCAGTAATGTAATGTTAGTTCTTTCTGGTTCTCTCCAGAAACTTGACTGGATGCTGTTGGATTGGCTCATAAACCTGGATCTGGGGAATTAAGTTCGACTTGCTGGGAATGAATTGTGTTACATTAGCTGAATGAGAAAATGACGGGAAATGACTTAATCAATTTTTTAATAACATACATCTTTGTACTTCGGGGAGGGTATCAATCATTTTCAATGAAAAGGCTAACGTCCAAGTGAAGTCACAAGTCATTAGTGTCTAAGTCTAAGTCGAGTTGCAAGACTTTTTTGATTTTGTCCAGTCTGAAGTCATCAAATTTGTGACTCGAGTCCACATATCTAACACATTTACTTACTGATTTTTTTTTTGTTGACAGATATTTTGAAAAAGAGAAAGGGAAATTTGACGAAATGCTGAAAAAGTTAAATTATGATGAGAGAAAGCAACTGCAAAAGTGGCAATAATAAATAAAATGTGCGCCCTCACCACTCTGGATACTGCTCAGGAGGCTTCAGCTGGGGGTCCTCTCCTTGTTTGAAGATGTTGACCCCTACTGCATGAGAAGTAAGTCTGGCAGGGTCTTTACACACCTCTGGACCCTTCAGCTCTTCTTTCACCATGGTTTTTCCTTTCCCTTTGACCACTGCAAAGGACAGAGAAGACATATTTGCATCACCATAGTGACAGATTGCATTCTACTGATGATTTAATGCCATATGCAGACACAAGCGATTTAGTAAATGGACGAACTGTGAATGGATATATAGATAATAAAATCCACCATTAGGTTTCCACTCTTAATCACGAGTGTTACTGTAGACAAACCTAAACGTGTCAAGCAAAGCTAATGTACAAGCTGAACACTGAGACACTGAACAGAGATGTAACATGTCCTCTTTACTCACCAGCCTTCTTTGCATATCCACATGTCTGTACTCTGTTTAATACGCTCGTCCTGCACAGCGACGTGGTACCATTGGCTGTGACGCATTTAGTTATCGTGAATATCCTAAATAAACTGTGCCCTGACATATTTACTGTAGGTTACTAAACACACACAGCATGCTACAGTTTGACATTCATAGTTCCTTCTACTTCCGTTTTCTGCTTTGTATTTAGCTCTGTTCAAAATGATATACTGCCCCCTGTGGACGGGAAGACACACTGCAGGACGGCTGAGACAAGTAACGGCTTCAACCGACATGTGGCAGCACCGCTGTACGTGCGTCACGTTCTTTAATAACAAAGCAGAAGAAGACGGTTGAGAGCTTGTCGAAGATGTCCGAGTACGCCACCGTCCAGAAGAGTGCCCTGAAAATAAAGGGTTTAGGAAGCATTTCAGCAGGTAAAAAGTAAGTATTTCGACATTTGGTGACATTATTTGAAAGAGACAATGCGTTTTAATGGATAAAAATACTTAAATAGACAGTCGCAGCCGATGAAAGCACCTGGTAAACAGGCGAGGCTAATGTTAGCATGTTTGCTAACAGAGCAGCAGTGCTACGTTAACGTTTACTGAGATACTGTAAGTACGATAACGTGATATTTGGGCAAATTCATCGTCAAAATAGCACTGTGGGGTGAAAAACCACTAATCCCATCTATGACCTCTGTTCCCTGTGACAGTATCGAGTTTTACAGTTAAGGCTAAGAACACTAAAGCTAACGTTAGCTACGTTGTCATAACATAAGGTATTATTCGATCTCAACATATCAATCAATCATTTATTCGTCGTATGGAAATAATACAAGGCACATCTATAGTGAAATGTGAGCCCATTACCTCTTATACCTTGTTTACTGTCATTAATTCAATCTTTACGTCTTCTTATATTGATGGCAGCTGCTTTATAGTTGTCCATGCTTCCAGATGGTTCTGGTAATCCCTGGCCTCTGGTTGTCCACAAACCCTGACCTCAACATGACCTCAAACTAATTTTGAAATACATAATATGAACAGACAGTACATGATAAATAGTGCAACATACTCAGAAACTCATAAAGATAATATTAACTGTACCCAGTGGTGGAATGCAACTAAACACATTTACTCATGTACTGTAAGCACAAGTTTGAATCTTTTCTTCCCATAACATGGTCTACCTCTACTCCACGACATTCATCTGATAGCTTTAGTTACTAGTTACGTACTGCCATTCCTCCGAAGAGAACTGCAGGCAGGAGGACAGAGCTGTGGTAGCGTAGGCACAAGTATCAGCCGACACAGTCAAGTCTCAAGTCAGGAATATCAAGTCAAAGTGAAGTCAAGTCTTCCTTAGTGTTGCAAGCAAGTCTCAAGTCCTCAAATTTGCAACCCGAGTCAGACTCGAGTCAAGTCATGTGATTCATGTCACCCACCTCTGCTATTCAGACTGCTGTTAGTTATCTACATTCGATCATGTGTCTGTACAAGTGTCATCATCTTTGTCTGTCATCACCTGTTGATGGGAGTGGTCAGCCTGGAAAGCCTCTGGTCGACTAACTTTCCATCACCTATCTTGTTTCCTCAGGAAGAAGAAGAAGGACAAGGAGAGTAAGCATCGCTTGGAGCAGGTCGCGACCAGTCAAAATGATGAGGAGGTGAAAACCAAGAAAGCATATGTTGACAAAAGGACACCGGCACAAATTGCCTTTGACAAGATGCAAGAGAAGAGAGTAAGTTATAGGTGTCCACCATTAAAAAGCTGCAGTGATTGGTTAAGGGTTTGATGCATAGCTAATAAAAGTTGTAACAAGCTATAGAAGTCAAATTTAGTAAAAGTGAACCATAGGCTAGCCAAAAAAACCCCTAAATGCTTAAACGCAATCTGCCACAATGCAATAGTGGAATAAAGATCCATACTTGGACACAGCCCAGCAATAAGCACACCAGTTGCACATAGCAGGGTTGTTTTAAGCACAAACAGCATGAGCCTAAAGCATTACTTTTACAAAAACATAAACAGCAGTCCAAAAGACCTGCTGGACATGAAAGACAGGCGTACCGCCTGGCAAATGAAGATTTTGCTCAGTTAGCTTCAGAACCAGCAATGCTGGAGCGGAACAGAAAACCCCAAATTATATATGTGGTTGTAGATTATCAACTGATGTGCTGTTTTGAACTTTAATGTTCAAAGTGCTGATTATGTTTGAAATACCACTGAGTGCAATAGACAACTGTGTTCAATAAAAATTTTAGCACATCAGCATAATCCCATCCTGAAATGCTTTTTGATAAAATCATTTGTTAGCTCAGATAAGGTTAATGACATTGATGGTCTCAGTTTATTAGTCTTCACATCATGACAGTGTTTATCAGCCCTGTTCTACTCTGAGGACAAAGTTCATCATTTGAAACAGTGAATGTTGCGACATAATGTATGGTGGAGCAGAAACATAGTTAAGCACCATAACGTCTACTGCGCAAAAAACGTGTGATGATTAAATAAAACACATAGCCATCATGTGAGTAGAATATCTTACAGGCAGTTGCAGTGATTTCATAGCAGTAAGGCAGTTTGAGCATGACGATTTATTGCTAACAGGTGACGCTTAAAAAAAACCTCAGCTGTTTTGCAGTGCCCCTGTTTTCTTGAGTTTGGGGGTGTTTAATGTAGTTGTATCTAGTATTATACTGAAAGTGATGTGTTTCTTGAGGTGTTTAGTGATAATGTATATTTTTTTAAGGCTTCTTTTGTATTAATTTTTTTTCTCTCTCTTTCCCTACAGCAAATGGAGAGGATTTTGAACAAGGCATCAAAGACACACAAACTCAGAGTTGAGGTATGTCAAGTCAGACCTGGCATTGCACCATTTCACCATGAAACATTTATTCAAGCACATTATGTTGGGATATCAAACCAATACACAGGTTATGTGTCGCCCTTCGCATGTGGGAATTGTAAGTGTGCGACACATCAAGACCCTAATCAGCAGCCAGCGTAAGAGATAACATTTCAAAGGAGAAAGCTGTGAGTGGGACAATGAATCGCTTTATTATACGGAGTAAATTACAACAAAGCACTAGTGAAGACGACCTACTATCAAAAGAAGACAGCATCATGAAAGTTACCAGTCTGATTATTGTCTTATGTCATGATAAGAGCGATAACACACATCATAGAAGGTATTGTGCACAGATACAAATACAGGTGTGCAGGCTCAAAAAGTTAGAATACCAAAGCTGTAGAATATACATTAGTCGAAATGATTTCAGATTTGCAAACAGAGAAATTTTATCAAAATTGAATGCATCTTCTATTGTTTTCCTCTTTCACAGGATTTCAATCGCCACCTGGACACCCTGACAGAGCATTATGACATCCCCAAGGTCAGCTGGACCAAATAGAAGAGGAGCAAACGCTCATTTTATTTTGTTTTTACCACTTGTACAAAGCTCTTGCACATTCATTTTTGTTTGCTTATTTTATATAATTACAATTACAGTTGCCTCAATTGGCATTCAGTCATTCTTATGTTTGAACTTCTGATGTATACAATAAAGGAGTGTTGAGTTCATTCTTATCCTCTGTGCTTCTTTTTTTACTTTGCATACCTCCATGTGATTTGACCATATTGAAAATCAGCTAATATTACATACATTTAAAATAAATCTGTGTGTGTGTGTGTGTGTGTGTGTGTGTGTAAAAACGACAGAAATTAGAAGACAGATGCCAGAAACCAGAATATACTTGTATTTTAATGAATACATGTTGCACAGATGGCACATATACTGTAAACCAGAGCATACAGAGCAGAGTAGTTCCTGTTGGATCATTTGGGACGGCAGTGTGAACATGTGAGCTACCCTGAAGGTACCAACTGATAGCTGAGGAGTCTTTTAAGACTTTAAATACCAAAACCAACAAGTTGGGAAACAAATTCACACATTTAACTTCAATACATTTAAGTTGTATTGTTGGTAAAACATAGTTGTGATGTGGAGTGACAGTATGACGTAAGACATACAGGTGTTGTGTGACAAACCCTGGTCAAGACGTGTGTAACAGTGTATGTTTAACACTGATAGTATGCAAAATAGAAGCTGTATCGAACAACAGCAAAGGATTCCCAAAATTTTTAATATGAGACGAGATGTTGAGGGTTCAGAGAATGTTTTGCTTGTTCAGTTCAGTCTCTTTGATTTAACTGGAAACTGTCTTTTCCCACACTAGAAAGTGTATCTTCTTTGTCTTGTAGTGCTTGTCATGTTGTCAGAGTTCACTTTGGCCCCAGCATTTCACTCGGCTTCACCCACTGGTCAAACTGCTCCTCCGTCAGGTATCCCAGCTCCACGGCCACGGCCTTGAGCGTGGACCCCTTCTTGTGAGCCGTCTTGGCGATAGTGGCTGCCTTGTCGTAACCAATGTGTTCGTTGAGCGCGGTGACCAACATGAGAGACTCGTTCATGAGCTTGTTGATCCTCTCCGTGTTGGCCTGGATGCCCACCACGCAGTTGTTGGTGAAGGAGACGGACGCGTCGCCGAGCAGCCGAGCCGAGTTCAGCACGTTCTTGATCATCATGGGTTTGAAGACGTTGAGCTCGAAGTGTCCGTTGCTGCCTCCGATGGTGACTGCGACGTGGTTGCCCATCACCTGGGCTGCGACCATGGTCATGGCCTCGCACTGGGTGGGGTTCACCTTCCCTGGCATGATGCTGCTGCCCGGTTCGTTCTCGGGTAAGATGAGCTCTCCGAGGCCTGAGCGAGGTCCTGACCCCAGGAAGCGGATGTCATTGGCGATCTTCATCATGCTGACAGCCACTGTGTTCAGAGCTCCACTCAGCTCCACCAGAGCATCATGGGCCGCCAGAGCTTCGAACTTGTTGGGAGCGGTGACGAACGGCAGGCCTGTGAGAGAAGAGACAGTGGAGGCGACTTTCTCAGCGAAGCCAATGCGGGTGTTGAGTCCAGTCCCTACTGCTGTGCCTCCTGCCGCCAGCTCATACACCCTGGGCATGGCGGCCTTCACTCTCTCAATGCTGTACTTCACTTGCTGGACGTAGCCGCTGAACTCCTGTCCCAGCGACAGAGGAACCGCATCCTGAGTATGTGTGCGTCCAATCTTGATGATGTCTTTGAACTCTTCAGCCTTGGCAGCCAGGGCGTCGTGCAGCGTCTGCAGGCCAGGCAGCAGGACGTGGTGGACCTCTGTGGCTGCAGCAATGTGCATGGCAGTGGGGAAGGTGTCATTGGAGCTCTGACTCTTGTTGACATGATCATTGGGGTGGACGGGATCCTTGGAGCCTAGTTTGCCCCCCATGATCTCAATAGCTCTGTTGCTGATCACCTCATTGACGTTCATGTTGCTCTGAGTCCCAGATCCAGTCTGCCACACCACCAGAGGGAAATGATCATCCAGTTTACCAGCTGAAACCTCATCTGCAGCCTGGATGATTGCATTTGCGATCTTTGGGTCCAGGCCGAACTCCTTGTTCACCTCAGCAGCCGCTCTTTTCAGGATACCAAAGGCCTTGATCACTTGGATTGGCATTCTCTCACTTGGACCCCCTATCTTGAAGTTCATGGTGGATCTGACAGTCTGAGCACCGTAGTACTTGTCAACTGGGACCTTGAGCTCACCAAACGTGTCCCGCTCGATCCTGTACTCTGAGCTGGCCATCCTGGACGTGCACAAGGGGAGTTTGGAGTTGACGCTGACTCTTTGTAAAGTCAGGAGGTTGCAGTTAAACTGCTGGACGCGCCGAAGAGACCGAATCATGGCTTCGCAGTAGAGGTGAATCCGGGGGGAGGTCAATGCTGCCTTCCACAGTGTGACCTGTTATTGGCTGAAGAGGAAACTGATCGCGAGGCAGCCAATAGCGAGGCAAGAGAGGCGGGACTTCCGCTGTGGCAGTCGTATCGGGTGGAAGTGATCCGGCTGCTTCATCCGGATCAGTGAAGCTTCTCACAACACTGCACGTTTGTACTTCCGGTTTGACAATTTACTTTGTAGAATAAAAGTGACGAATTTTACATACATAAATTAAAAATGTATATATTTAATTTATCCAACAGACCAACTTTTAAAGAATTTAAGGTATGATATTTCTGACACATATAGATTTTATAATATTAGCATAGAAACATTTATGGCCATCTACAATGCCTTGAAAACGGGTTTTAAGTTGTTTTGTGGGCCCCTGTTTATTTCAGTATTTTTTTTTTCATTAATGCCTCACATCTTTAATCTTATAATTTTGTCATTATAATTACTGTAATAATATTTTTAATTTATAATCAATTAATGATTTATATTTATAATTTTACTGATTATAATTTTTATCTTTATATAGTTTTAATTAATTTGTATAAACCAACTTTTTTTTTCCCCTGTAACATCTTCACATCTGTCTACGTGTTACATTACACATCTTTGGGGCTACTATTTCTGTACATTGCATATTATTTTTATTCTTAATACTGTGAACCTTAGCACAGAATATATTTTAGCTGATTACTGATCAGTTCTTTCATTAAAATCAATTACACACATTTTAATAACATTTTTTTTTTAAATATATTTTTATTGTAATTTCTTTATTTTTTTGTTGTTTTATTTGTCAGTGCACCAAAATAGAAAAGCAAATTCTTGAAAACCTACTTGGCAATAAAGTGGATTCTGTTACTGTCAGAATTTGCAACATAATGCACACTGTTTGTGTAATATATGTAATGACAATGGATCATATGCAAGTTGACTATATTTGATAAAGGTGATATAATTAACTCCTCTACTGTGCATGGACCCAAACAGGGATGAACCCCCCAAAATTAGGACTGTATTATTCTAATGTGTAATGAATATACACTCTACAGCAGGGGTGTCAAATATGCAGCCCAGGGGCCAGAACTGTCCTGCCAAAGGGTCCGATTAAAGGTGCAAGTTAAACATTGAGTAGCTTTCCTAATGTAAAATGCTGCTTTAGAGGCTTTTACGGTTCTTTTCTTTGACTTTAGTTTGGTGTGGTGATGTCAGGAGTGAAAATACACAGAAAAATGCACATGTAATGACAGTGAGTTGTCGACTCACTGAATGTGGAAAAGCTGAGAAATACTGTTGAAACTGCATTTATTGTTCTGAAGACATCACAGGCTGTGTGTCATCTGTTTTATAAATGGATTGGAATGTTTAAAATGGAAAATTTTGGAGGTGTTTGTTATTCATAGGGTATTATGCAATGGTTTTACTAGTCTGGCCCACCTGCGATCAAAGCGGACCGTGTGTGGCCCATGACCTGAAATGAGTTTGACACCCCTGCTCTACAGCGATGAAGCCTCAGTAGCATATGATGCATTACAAGTTGGTATACTGTGTGCTGTGCAGCAAGGTGCTGCTGGATTGAGTATGCAAAGTGAGTCTTTAGAGTTGCTATATTCAAATGCTGATGTATGTCGCGTCAAAAGGAAGGAGCTATGTGAGCTGTGCACGCACTGCTCTACTTATTCTCAACAGCTACTGGGGTCCTGCATCCTGTGACATGATTAAAGAAAATAAGACATTGTTTTTGCCCTGGGTCTTTCTCTGTATGGTGTTTTAATATATAATATGTGTGAATTTAGGGGCATTATGGTAGCTATTGATTTTTTTTTTTAATCTCCTAGGGTGTAGTCTGTAATTCCATGGTAATGTTTTATAGCCTAGGATTGCATTTTATTTTTTTTAAGAAAGATATATTTTGCATTGACATTTGATTGCAAAAAAGTTTTTTGTTGTTTTTTTCATTTTTTCATTCATTCAATGTTTTTGCATCGAGGAGAGAGTCTTTTATTTTGAAGGCCAAGAACGTTATTGCACCGGAAGTCATCTGTGTGTCGTTGCTATCTTCCCTCCGCCGTCTCTTCTCGCGGTAACGTTAGTGTACTGTTAGCTTGCTAGCTAACCTCATCGTTTCCAGGTTTCGCGTCGACCCGAAAAAAGGCAAACGTTGAGAGACACAGAAAGGCTACGCAGCCGAATAGTTTTGGAGCCCAGGCTGCACCGAGGAGCGGGACAATGCCGCACAACTTCCAGCCCGGAGACCTGGTCTTCGCTAAAATGAAGGGGTACCCCCACTGGCCAGCCAGGGTAAGCAAGTAACGTTAGCAGCAGCCGGAGGGGCGGAGGGGATGAGCTGCTCTGCATGGGACGCTGGAGAATGTTCTCTGTGTATCCTCGGCACTATCTAACATGGATACCTATCATACACATACATAACTTAATATTATGTTGCGCTGACAGGCTGTGCTTCAGGCCCAACGGTTAGTGCACGAGGGACTTAATGTACATGAGATGCTGTTGGCCCAACGTTAATCTGCGTGGAAACGTACAGCAGCGAAGCTAACGTTATTTTGGAAATGACGTTACAGATAACTGATGTTTCCTCTAGAACTGAAGCTCCCCTCTTAATATAAAACACCACATATTTACACATTTAAATCAAAAGTTTGCACTGTTTGTTTTCCAGAGATAACTAACATCAATATGTGTTTTACATGTGTTTTTTCTACAACATGCCACTTGGTTTTTACTTGAAAGTCTTG